GGGCCTAGGAGGGGACCATTTTTTTCCTTTTATACATGGCTGCACTTTTAAAGCACGAAATCCACTCCTCTCTCTCATCCATTACCTCCTGTGTTGCTTCCCTCATACCCCACCTCCATGTCCTTTTTCCACACTGTATGTATGCACACATGTACTACATATACAAATGTATGCAGCATCACTGCATCCAATTAGTGTTCCCTGCATACACATGGGTTTTAGGTGGGCCACTGTAACCTAGGAGGGGTCCCACCTTTGAAGAGAGCTGACTTTTTCCTGGCATCTGTCAGCTGTAATGTCTCAACTACTGGGGACTTGGTGAGCATCTCACCATCCCTGCTGAGAGTGTGGTTGGGATCACAGACGCGGGCAAAGTCATGATACAGCCAGTGGAGTGTTCCTAGAATGACTATGGCCTAGTATGTATGATCTGAAATAATTAATCTAGAACTTCCTAATGGCCAACTTGAATTTTCTCTTAGATTTATTTTTACAAGAGAATTTCTAGGAGACTTTTGTTAAATGTATTTATAAAAATCATTTAGGTGATAGGTGAATGTTCCAAACACATATTTGTGTGTTGTTTGGACAGTATTTTGATCTACCCTGAACAGTGAAGGGGCAACAGGGAGGGCAGCTAAGTTTTGAAAGAGAAGAAACAGGACAGGTGTGGAGGGTGGCTACTGTGGGGAATGAAGTTTGGAGTGGGTACCAGATCAGCGATGGATGGGAAATGCATGCCACTCAAGGGTTAAAACGAGGATGGTAAGTATTAGAAAATGGTGAGAAGAGACAAGTAGCTGCCAAAGTGGTAGAACACTATAGATGATTTCTTTTCTGTTTTCATTTGTGACATCATTGAGGGCTGAACATCATTATCACCTTCCAAGTGTCTGGGGTTCTAGACTTGAGTCTGTTACTCATGTCTGACTATCATTAAAGTACTGACTTGGCCTTTCTAGGCAGCAGCTCTTTAAATACCAAGTAGGATCAATACAGTGGACATCTGGATTTCTGACCATGTTATTTGGTGACTTGGAGAGTCTTGTATGTATGCTTCAAGGGTATCTATCATTCACTGCATGGATGAGAATGAATAGTTAAGTAGGTGATGTTAGGCTTTCCCCCTTGACCACAGCCATCATGTTAGCTCAGTTACATATATTTTGTATAGAACTTCCATAGATAACTTTTGTTTGAAGATCAGGGTCTATGTCTAAAAGGAAAGTTGGGAAAGCATTTGTTCTAGACTATTTATCAGGTTTCTTCAGATTCTAAAATTTTGGGAGTTTGTAGGTGGTCCCCAAAGTCTTTCAGCTAAATTACATGCACCCACATTATCTGTCCCCAGGAGGTGTTACTAAAATGTGAGGATGAGAATTTGGACAACAATTACATATAGTATCAAAGGTATGGTAAGGGAACATTTATTGAAATCTATGGCTCCATTCTCAGTAATTCAGATAATTGAATATTTAGATCCTCCAGAAATCAGCTAAATGTTGTTATGATTATTGGTATCATTTGAAAAAATGAGAGACTACAATTTGGAGACAAAGCAATCAGGCTTTAAATAATCAGAGCTGGCACCAGAATGCCATGGTAAGCCCATGTCCCTTGGTGGTAAACCTGTTGCTGGAGACACCACACACTTTGGTTATAGGATGTGGAGAGATCAGGCTGGCACTGGCTTGGAAGCTTCCTTTTTGCTGATTGACATTTATACTACCGGAAGGATGCTATGTAGCCTGTTGGGGAAGAAGAGCTATCAGTAGTTTTACCCAGCTGTGAACCTGTGAGCCACAGCAATGACTAACATGATAAGGAGTGCCTGTGGCTACATTAGTGGCATGGGTGTTGTAAGGGTAATTATTGTTTTCTGATTGGATCTAAAGCCTGTTCCACAGGAGGACCCATATGCCTTGTACTGTAAATCTAACAAAGAGCCCATTGTTGGGGAGCTTATAGGCCTGAGAGGTGAACCTACTATGACTCTCTTGTTAAATGACTTACATCAAAGTACTGTCTAGATACATACCTCTGTACCCATAGATTAGTGTAGCCTACCCTTCATTAGACAAGCATGTCTGTGCAGTGGACTGCCGTTAACACTGAAAGTTGCAACTGATCAAAGTGCAGAGACTAAGTATCTGTGAGTGTCCAGCCACCAGTCAGACACTGATGTACCCATCCCCACCAGGCTCAGGAGTCACTGAGGAAGCAGTGGTGGAAATACTGTAAGAGCCAGAATTTAGAAGGACTATGGTGAGACTGTCTTCTGGACATCACAGGATAGCTGCACTCACCAACCAAAGCAGCTGCAGATGCCTGCCCATGACCGTCACAAGATCAAGCCAGGCAACATTCTATTAGCAAGGGGGTTGGGGGGCTTGTAAACTCCCACCTCTAGGTGAAGTGCCATTGACAGCTAATGGCTGCTAGGGGAAAGAGAGTCAGTTGGTTTTAAGTTGTGTGGTCCCTAGCAGGTCAACCGTGATCTAGTGGGTGACTCTATAACTATCCCTTTATGGGCAGTACAGATTAGACTCAGTAAGTTTTTTCTTTTTTCTTTTAAAGAACATAAAAATTGGGGATGGGGTGGATTTGGGAGGACTTAGAAGGGATGGGGGAAGTGAATATGATAAAATTGCCTTATACACATATATTAAATTCTAAAAGAATTAATGAAATATATTGGAAGAAGTATCATAGCCTTCATGGTCCTATTTTTGGACCTTTCCTGGCTTCCTATGTTCTATTGATACCCTGGGCTCCTCCACAGTGGAGATAAGATATTCCATCATGAGTAGCATATAGGTAGATTCTTGGCTGTCAAAGCACCTTCAGTGCTCGCCTGGGCTACACACCTCTCACCAGGTACAGTGGCATAGGATGGAGCAATGCCTGAAGGACTCAGCATGCACAGGTCACCGAGATTGCAGCATAGCCTAGGTACCATGAGCCCCACTGAGGACAAGGAAGCTGAGCTGTCCTGAGGAGACTGCTACAATTATTATGCAATGATGATTTTATTATATGGTTATTTTATAATGAAGTTATTATATAGTGTCAAGTTTCAGATTTAGGTATGGAGAAACCATTTACACACACTCTCTCTCTCTCTCTCTCTCACACACACACACACATACACACACCTTACATATTTTTTTAAAAAGCCATATATTAGGAGTTACTTGGATTTTTCTAAAGAATTTCAGCTTTCTTCAGAGTTTTTGCTTCTAAGTCTATCATCTATCTATCTATCTATCTATCTATCTATCTATCTATCTATCATCTACTTCCTTACTACATATTTTAGGTTGGCCTCAAAGTCACCAAATAGTCCAGGCTGGTTTGAAACTCTCAGTCCTTCTGTCCCAGCCACAATGCCAGGAGGAGAGGTATGTACTACTATCTCAATATATTAAAAAATAGTTTTGTTAACCTTAGTACTGTTAGTGAATAGTAGCAAGTTGTCTAGGAAGAAAATAAAATTGGAAATGGGTTTGTAACCTTCTCTGCCTTATCCCTTCCATTTCTGTGTAAGTTTTAAAGCTTAGCCTATCCCCTCATGGTGGCTTTTTGCACAGCATAACTTTAGTGATGAATTCCAGATGTTGCTCTGTGGAGTGCTTCGGGGGCTTACACATTATATTTCTGAGCAAATAAGCGTATTTTCCCCCTTGTGACTGAAAGGCTAAATAGCAGGTCATGTGTACCTGCACATGTGAAAGGGCATTTATATTTTGATCAGGTGAAATGCACCTGGCACTGTAAATACTGTGGATTGATGTGATCGATCCACGACTCTGAACGGCTTGAGAGGCCAGCTCTAGAATGTCTCTTTTTACCTTTCCATCCATCTTTCACTTTCTGAGATGGGAAGAAGAGAATCTGAAGTACTGGGATTTGTTAAGAAGGCCTGCACATTTTTTTTAGGAGGGCTCATGATCTCAGATCACTCTAGATTCCCCGACTCCACACCATGCAGAGTGTGGACTTTCCATGATGCCTTCCGGATCTCTGTGCTTGGGAAGAGTGGGGGACTGTCCCCAAGGTTTCATATTACTGTGAGAAGGGAGATGCGCTGGAGGGATACTGCTGGCTGCTTCTTCCTCTACCTCCCCATCAGCTTGGAGAATTCTGGAGAAGTGGTGGGGCAGAAAGGCCAGGGCAGCTTCTCTCTGTGAGCTCAGGGAAGTAGCATCTTCACCTGCCTTCGGCCTGGTGGGAAGCCTGGAGTTTTGGCGCCCGTTCAGTTCTGTAGAGAGCTGCTGTGCCCACAGCACATATCCATGCGCATATCTGTGTATGTAAATACAGCTTTACTAATACACGTTCTGTCACCCACGCCTTTGCCTTACACAGAAAGCCCCGGTCTGAACTTTGGAATGTTCAATGCTACATATTCTCAAGGGTCAGCCAAGTCTTACCAGACACCGTAGCTACGTTTGCCTATCTCTGTTTAGAATTATAAATCTTATACTCTAACCTTCCTGAGTGTTTTCCCTAAAAGCTATATATTTCTGTTTATCATTGCATTTTATGAATTTTCCAGTTCATTTATTTATTAAAAACTTTCAGTATTTTGTTGAATGAATAAATTTAAGAGTGGTATAAATACATGAGTGACCTATTTCCATATGCTTAGTAGGGAAGAAAGATGTGTGGAATCTTGAACAGTGTGATAAATATAGTAATAAAAAGTCATTGGGCAGGACTGGGGTGGGTAGATTCAGGCACTTTCTCTAATCTGATCACATTATTAAACATCAGAATAGCGGATGAGAGACTTTCCCTTGAAGTATGTATGTATGTATGTATAAACACACACACACACACACACACACACACACACACACACACTCACCGTAAAGGAGAATGAGAGTCATTTATTTCTTGCTGTAATTCCTTTCCCCATGCTGTTCTTTGTGTTTTCTCCCTCTCTCTACCTCTTCATCAGGCTGATCATCTCACATTCCACATCTTCCTGTTTGCAGGTACTGTCTCCTTTGTCCCACCCTGGTCCTGCCCCGTGACTTGATTCATGAAATACACACATTGGTTTTAAAGACCAAAAGATCCCCTGGGAAGGTAAGATCCCAGTAACCTAGACTGAAGGACTTCCTGGATAGTGGGAGCTTCATTGCTAAAACTCAGGCATTGGGATGCTGACAGTGTGCTATATTAATCTTACTAACGATTCAGATAATTTGTTGGTTGACTCTTGGAGTTCTTCTAAATTATTTGCATCTTAAGAGGCATTAGAGTCAGGAAACACAAATTTATCAGAAAGGAAAAAACTTTTTCCCTAGAAGCAGACCTCAAGTTAAAGGTTCAAGGGCAAGTTGTCTGCTTCCTCTTGGAACGGAAGAGCCAGTAGGGGAGAAGAGAGAAGGGTGTGAAGGCGTCTGGGAAAGGAAAACTCCAGAAGCTGCCTCCCTGCTCTGTGTGACTTTAAAATATTTTTTCTTCCTTTTTTCCCCTTTCAGTGCAGTTTCTCAACCTTGGCACCACTGGCATTTACCTGAATAATTTTGTCATGGAGGCTGTTCTGACTGTTGTAGGATATTTAGTAGTATCCTTCATCTTGATCCATAAATATCATTCCCATTCCTCGGTTATGACTCCGGACTTCAGATGCCACCATATGTCTGTCCTTCATCAGTGATCCGTGTTCAAGAACACACCCCAGAGTTTCCCTTCTGAGGTAAATAAGAGGGCTGGGTATTTCCATGCCATTTCTATCAATCATCAGTTAAGGGCTGCTGAAGGAGGCCCGGAGAAAGTTCCCAGGCAGAGATAGGCAGTCGGATGTTGTCTAGGAGGCTTTGAAGTGGAGACACCAGAGGCATACAGGAGGGAGGCTCTCACAGAATCTGCTTCTGTCTGTCCATGTGTTCTAGATGTTCGTTTCCACTGCAGCCCACCTTTCTCCTCTCTTATATGATGGAAAACGACTCTCTACCACTCCAAGACACACATAGGAATCCCAGCAACCCTTAAGTGCTGGTTCCAAATCCCTAGGACAGACAATGCGATTGGTCCAATTTGAGAGGGCTATGTTCATTTTAGCCAATCAGCTGTGACCATATATATATACTGTAACACAAATATGGCCAGCTAGGTTTCTACTCCTATTTCAGTTCAGAGCCAATGGGCAGCAGCTGGCTTGAGGCAGGGGTGGATAGTGGTTTCTGTCAACATTTATCAGGCCTTTGCTGTATGTGGGGCTTTGTAAAGGGCATGTGGACAAATGGCTTGTCAGAGTGCAAGAACATAGACTGTAAAGATGAAACGGATGCTTGGGGACTACCCTGTGAGGAACTATTTTCCCCTAGTGCCTAGGTGAGAAACTGTTTTTAGGAGAGTAGGAAGAAAAGGTGAGGTAATTTTCTTTCACTCACACACATAATATAATGGCAATCTGAGCATTTAGGAGGGTGAGAGCAATTCTTTAGTCAGATTTCCAGATGAATTTAGACCTTGTTACCAAGTTTTCTCTGAGGACAGAGTTGTGAGACCCGATGCTGGACGGACTTCTAGGGTAAAGGAAAGTGGGCATTGCAGGGTTGAGAAGAAGGCAGGTCTGAATCAGACAGCCTGGTCTGTCATTTCTGCTGTGCAAAGGGGAGCAGGACCATGGGGACACTGGATTGCCAGATCTCTCCTACTTTGAAATCAAATCACTGAAAGAATCAGAAATAGGGAACAGAATAGTCCTTTATCGGCCTTGGCACGAGGACCTTTATGTCCTTGGGGAGGCTACCTTCCTGGGAAATACAGAGAGGACAGGTTGTTCTGTCCTTTGTGGGTAGCTCAGATCCTCCTGTGTTGCGGGGTATCTAGAAGACTACTCATGCATTTGTTTTAGCCAACACAAAGCCTTTCTTTGCTGGCCAGTGCTACACTGGGTGTTTGGGATCTCAGCATAGCCCCAAGCCTTTCTCAGGTTGAACTTTTAAGTACAAAAACATATCCTGGGTTGACACACCTCAGTTGGCAAGAACAGTTAGCCAGAAATGGAACTAGAGAAGCCTAAGAACAAGGTTGGTACATTTAGAAACTTCCCCAGAACTATGGACTTTGATTCAGGTTTATGTCTTTGTTTTTGCTTTGGCAGGTAATGTTGTCTATGTGCTCCGTTCCATGGCCTAAATGATACTTCCCTCATGGCATCAGCTGTGTTAAGGTCGGGGTCCCTGTAGGCATGAATCAAATCATAGTCATCTTAGCATTAGTAGCTTAACAGAATTTAGTTTCTGTTTTACATAGATAAGGAAACAGTTGAGCAAACAGGGTCCTATAGTGAGAGCTGGGAGTAGAAGGATTAACAGCTTAGCCACGGCCATAAGTAGAGTAGTTAACCTGGGGTAGGGTGGGGGTAGGAGAACAAAGATTGGTACCAATTGTTAGGATTTTGATGTCTTTTTTTAAAAAGGTTATTTTTGACCAAGGCTAAACTTTAAAAATTTATTCCTGATTGATTGGCATAGAAGCGAGAAGTTTTCCCCTGTTACCTCTTGTCTCATAAAGAGGAGTTCTAATCTTCTTTGATCCTGAAGAGCATCTTCGTCTAAGAATCTAACTGGGCATCCAGACAGGAAGCAAAATTATCTAGATGGCCCTGGTCTCTATCTACTTGAGCACTGAGTTTGTTTAAAAGTGCTTGTTCCCCTTAACTAGGGCTAAAGTTTCCACTACAGCAGAGCCCGTGATACCTGCCCTCACCAATACAGGGATGTAATAGAGACAGCTCATCATGCATGGAGAAGCCCAGGGTCTAGATTTAGGTGGGCCATGTCCTTTCTCTAATTGTAGATGAACATTTGTGTATAATATGCATGAGGACATGAAGGAAAGGCTTCTCCTTGATTATACACAATTTACAAGATATATACTTGCTTAAGCCATAGTGCAAGCAAGTCTCTGGGGCCTAGAAACACATTCAACCATTGTTTCTGTAATTAACCTGCTGTGCATGGCAAAAGGAATCTGCATAGCAGGAACTATTTGGGGGTCTCTCGGTGACATTTAAATGGGTATCTTTCCCTTAGAGGTCCCCCAGGTTGAGTTTAGGTTGGTCCTATTTACAGCTATTAGGTTGGAAGAGAAACTTATTGTTTGATTTCTTCCAGTCCCAACATAACACGGGGGCTTGGGGGTTCAGGCACAACCAGCAGTCCTGACAAATGCCTGGTTGAGAATGGTTAAGGAAATGATATATTCTTTCTAGCATCCTGAACACCGAGGGGCTGTCTTTTGCTGTCTCCTGAACCTTTATCTTTGAGGTTACCAGAGGAATTTATAGGGAGATTAGGGTTTTTGGGCTTGCTGTTTTATGGAGCTTGTATTGTGGGGGTACCAAGATGGGTTGGTATGTTGGATAGTTTTATGCCAACTTGGCACAGAGTTACCTGAAAAGAGGGAGCCTCAACAGAGAAAATCCAGCTGCAGGACATTTCCTTTCTTTCTCTTCCTTCCTTCCTTCCTTCCTTCCTTCCTTCCTTCCTTCCTTCCTTCCTTCCTTCCTTCCTTCCTTCTTTATTTCTGTCTCTCTTTTTTCAAAATTATGAAGCTGTTAACCATTTACTTTGATTTCTTATTGGCTAGCTCTGACTTAGTTATTAACCCATAGCTACTAATCTAAGTATTCCCATGTGATCTTCTCTTATCAGAGAAAGAGTCCGGACCTCTTCTCCTGTGTCCTACATGGCGACTGACTATGCCTCTTTTTCCCAGAATCCTCCTCAACTCCTAGTCCTACCTATCTTGCTTCTCTATTGGCCAACAGTGCTTTATTCATTAACCAAAGAGAGACATATACACAGAAGTGTTGGGGAAGTCCTGTTATTTGCCTGTGCATTTGTCAATAAAGTACTGTCTGGCCAATAGAAAACCTAGATAGGAGGGGCTAGGAATCCAGGAGGATTCTGGGTAGGAGAAACACAAGAGAGTCGAGATGTAACGCCATGAGGTAGGACCCCGGAACTATTCTCCGGTAAGAGACATACTTAGATTAACAATTATGGGGTAATTACTTAAAGCAGAGCTAGCCAGTAAGAGACAAGCAAGGCCAACAGCTTCATAATGAATATAGCCTCCTGTGTGTTTATTTGGGGACTAGAAAGCGACTGAGCCCAGGCGGCTGGCGGGGGATAAACCAAAGCGGCTAGCAAAAGAAAAAGCTTCTCTTAACACAGAAGGACTTCCCCCATCATCTCCTCTTTCTGTCTAAATAAAAAGAAACATTTTAACTTTAACATAATAAAATATATAACAAGGCAGTTATTAAGCAAGAAGTATAAATGCAATATTTAGTCCATTAACTCTTTCTCTTTTTTTGTAGGACATTTTGTTAATTAGTGACTGATAGGAGAGGGCCCAGTCCATTGAGCCTTGATCCCATTGTGAGTGGTGCCATCTCCGGGCTGGCTGTCCTGGGTTCTATAAAAAAGCAGGCTGAGCAAGCCAGGTGAAGCAAGTCAATAAGCAGTACCCTCCATGGCCTCTGGGTCAGCTCTTGCCTCCAGGTTCCTGCCCTGACTTCCTTTGATGATGATCAGTGATATGGAAGTATAAATCAAATAAACCCTTTTCTCTCTAATGTGCTTTTGGTTATGGTGTTTCACTGCAGCAATAAAAACCCTAAGACAGTTTGCTTGGATAGAGAATTTGCTGCCTGAATTTGGACTATTACATATAACCTAACTGTCCAGGGTCTACCTGGCTTCCTGCTAGGTCCTAACCTTTATGGTTATGAGAGTGCATTGCCCATGACCACAGGTAGGTACTATGAAGGGATTAGTATGCTCTTGGGAGGACTTGGTTTTGTAACCCTACCGAGCATAATGGTACCCACCTGGCTTCTGGCCTCTCAGGAGGTGTTTGACCAGGCAGGCATAGTACTGGGTAGACCAGAGCTCATCGTCTTCATCCACGGACCCACAGCTCCAGGGGCATGCTCCTCCCCAGGAGCAAGCAAACCATCCACCAGTAGCCTCTGGATGAAAGAAGATCTTATAGAAATCTTCCTGGAAGCTAGACTGGGTCTGGGTAGACAGATTGACTAAGAGCTCCCTGGTTCTGGTCTTCCTTACTCGCCATACCCAAGGTCCTGGCTCATGGGTGGAGTCTTAGGCCTTTCCTGAGAGGAGACAAAAGAACAAATTAGGACAGCCATATTCATATGGCTCATGTCAGCCTTACCTTTTGGGGTGGAGGATCTGGTGATGACCCATCTGTCGTTATCTTCTGTAGCCTCCTTCAGCTGGGTGTGGTGGGCCAATGGGTGATGTTCACTGCTGTAGGGTGAGGACCATAGAGTATGGGCTTTTCCTTGCTGGCTCCGGGCTTTGCGTCAGGATCCTTTTTATCCACATGAGGTCACCAGGCTGGACTTGTGGCTAGGCTCAGATGCGGGCAAGGACAAAGCCTCTCGAACCGTCTGATGAATACTTCTCTGGGTCTGTTTTATGGCCTGCAAGGACTTGTGGAGGAAATGGTTAGAAATTTCTGTCTTGTGAACTTCTCAATATGAGGTGCTACAGGCCCTTAGAAGCACAAAATATAGAAAGCTGGCATAATTTTCCCTAGTCTCAAGGACATATTTAATTTTTTATATATGCTTTTTGCCTTCCCAAGTTTTGTGGCCTATAGGCACAATGTAGTTTTTCATCAACATTTAGGACCTTTGTCAGATTTAGGGAAATTTTGGCTATGAAGGCCAGACAATTGTAGGACCCCAGGGAGACAGGCAACCCAAACCTAGGAATATTATCTGGGCCTGGATTATTTGGCAGTTTTAGGTGACCTCAGATGGGTAACCTGGGGGAGCCTGGGGACCATCTGTCTTCTGATAACAGGGGAGTAAGCCAAGATGCTGAGGCAGGTCCATTCCTGGGACACAGGCATCCTCTGATGGCCGGGGTTGGCTCAGGAGCTCCTCAACTGCCTAAAGGAGCCTTCTGTACACTGCCCTTCTATCCTTCCCCTCTCCCTCTTCTTTAAACAGCTCACCTTGTCTGGCAACCTGGCAGCTCTCAGGGTTACCTCTCATCTTTGTTGCTTTTCTATTGCTGTGATGAGACATCATGACCAAGGCAACTTATGAAAGAAAGCATTTATCTGGGACTTACAGTTTCAGAGGGTTGGAGTCCGTGATCATCACAGGAAGCACAACAGCAGGCAGGCAGGGTGCTAGAGTGTCCGTGAGAGCTCATGTCTGGAGATAGAAGCAGGAAGCAGAGAGTTAACTGGGAGTGGCATGGGCTTCCCAGGCATACTTCCTCCAACAAGGATCTTTCCAATAGTTCCACCAACTGGGCATGAATATTCAAATATATGAGCTCATGGGGCCACTCTCACTCAAGCCACCACACCTCCCACTTTTTTGTTAAAAGCAAGTCTCTCATTAAGATGCTGTGCCCTCCTGGGGATCTGCTTTTCAGTGGGCCTAAACCGTGCCATTCGTACTTCAGATGGAGGCACTCTGGGGATGAAATAGCAATACTAAGAGTATCAGTAATGGACCAGGGTCAGTCTAGGGAACCCTGAGCAACCTTTGCAGAGACATTCTGATTGCCTTGACTGAGGTGACTAAGGGCACCAGACAGGCTGCTGACTTGAACTCAGCTCAGTGAACATACAAAGTGGGAACTGTGTTTAATTCCAGAAAGTGACTAATCTGGTTCAACTGTTCATAGCATGACTCTTGTGAACTAAGTAGAGGCAGGGAGTAAGATGAGCAAGATGTGGTCTTTGCCCTCAGTAGTTTGTATTCTGGAGGAGGAGATTTCATAAACTGATGGCTTTATTAAATATGAGAAAGTTGACAGAGAGACCAGTCCAGCTTTATGAAGGCCTAGATAATCCCTGGCACCTTCCGGAAAGTAGTTCTGGTGTAAGAAAGGGCCATGAGCCAGCCTTGGTGAGCTTAGTTTATGGACAAGAGGGACAGAGATGAGTGAGTTGAGCAGGTCTTCTGTTCTGGGTCTGTGGCGATTCATGACATACATCCAGAGCCTTGTTAATTAGCAAGAAAGTGAGTCACTGAATTTCTTTCTGAGATGGGCAGACAATTTGGCAATATGCACAGAGACAGATTCAGTGTAGGGTTTTCTTTTTCAAGGATTTCTCATTATATGATTTTATCTCCACAAACAAATAAGACAGCTGCCATTCAGTGACTCCTGGTGGAGTGACTCTTCCTCAGGCAAGCAGACAGGCGATTGCCTTCTCTGTTGAAATCGCTGCTCCTCTGAAGCAGTTGGTGCTACTGACTGACAAAGCTGCTCTTGCTACAGGTGGGGCTGGGAGACAGTACGGGGGGGGGGGGGGGGGCGCGGGGGCATGTGCGCACGCGCGCGCGCGCGCGCGCACACACACACACACACACACACACACACACACACACCACTTGAATAAACAGATGCCTGGTTTATCCTTCTAGCTTTTCCTTAGCCCATGATGCCTGACAGAAATGGAGCTGAAAGCGATGGCTGGGCTGTGATGAGGCCAGCAATATTTCACCCGAGCAAGCTGAGACCTCAGGGGATGGAAAAGGCATTCCGCTCCAAGCTCAGCGATGGTGTTGGTGCTGCATCAAGACAAAGCCCATGGCTCTTCCTCCCTCCCTCCTCCTCCTCCTCCCCACATGGTTCAATTTCATGGCATTCACAGTCTCGGGACAAAGGAATGTTCCAAATTCCAGACCCCCATCCTGACGCAGCCTTTGTAAGCCCAGGGAAGGAGACCTACAGCCCCACATCTTCTGGATATCAGCAGCTGATTGTGGACTACTTTGGTTTTCAACTTTTAACCTTGGTGTTCAGAAAGTTTCTTGACCTTGTGGGTGGAGACAGAGTTAATAAATAATTTAAAAAAGACCCAAGCTTCTTGAACTCACGGTTTATGTTTTTGGTCTACAAGGGATAGCATGACATTTGTATATATAATTAGTCAGGTGAGAAAGTGCTGTCAGCCCCTGCCATGTGCTTTTTCTTGAGTTGCCTATGGGGGTCTAGGAGCAACAAGTATCTCAGGCAAACCTGAAGCCTGTTTGTATGCTGGCTCAGCAACATCATTGCTTGTAACTCTTTTTAAAAGTGTGTGTGTGTGTGTGTGTGTGTGTGTGTGTGTGTGTGTGTATGTGAGTACTCATGTGTGAGTTTGGGCCATGGCATGTGTGTGAAGATCAAGAGACAACCTTGGGTGTCAGTTTTTACCTTCTGTCTTGTCTGAGACAGGCCAGCTCCCAGGATTCACTTGTATAGACCTCTGAATTCCATCAGAGGCATGCTGAGGTTGAACATTCACACTGCCACAGCTGTTTTTACATAGGATCTGGGGATCTGAACTCTGGGTCTTCATGACTGCACAACAAGAACTTTATCCACTGGGTCATCTGCCCAGCTGTGCTTGTAACTCTTGTATAATAGATCTGCTGCCTTCTTTGCATGGGTTTTCATTCCTGGCGGGCCTGGCCGGAAGAGTCTTATTGCCACAACAAGGCAGTATTTCTTGTAGAAATTCAGTGACTCCCTTCCCCCACATACAGCAGGTGCATCTCTTGGTAATGAGGAGAGATTAAAGAAATATTTTGCTGTGGTCTAAAGACAATATAATATGGGCTTCTAGCTTGCACTAGACACATATCAAAATGAAAGGGGACTTAATTTCATGTTGATGGTTTTCTTGGCACCACAAGATTTTAGCCCCATCTAACTGCAGTTCAAGTCCAAAATGACTATGTGGATGGGGGCAAGAAGGGGAGACAGGGAGTGTAAGCTGCTTTTTGAAAGAAAAATTCCATCTAATAGAAAGAAATTCTCCAGGTAAAGGGGGAAATAGAAGAATTTATTATTTTTAAGAGGAAGGATAAGAGTAGAAAGCTAAATAAGAAGGAAACCTTACCTTTGTTTATCACATCTTTTACTTCCTTCCAGTTAGTGAATCAAACTGGGGTGGTAGAAGATAATACAGTGCGGCAAGAAACAACTTATTTTTGAGAAAGGACGCTGTTTACCATTGTCTTAGTCTCTTAGTCACTGTTCTATTGCTGGAAGAGACACCATGACCAAGGCAACTCTTAGAAGGAATTTATTGTGTGCTTGCTTATAGTTCCAGACGGTTTGTCCATTATCATCCTGGCAGGGGCATGGTGGGAGCATGGTAGCACTCATGGTGTTGGAACATTAGTTGAGAGCTACACCCTGATTTACAGGCAGAGAGAGCAACACCAGGACCAGTGTGCGCTTTTGAAACTCCAAAGCCCACACCCAGTGACACATTTCCTCCCCAAAAATGTCACATTTCTTAATCCTTCTCAAACAGTGCCACTCCCTGAGCATTCAACTACAAGGGCCTATGGGGACCATTCTTGATCAAACTGCCATATCCCACTCCCTGGGCTCCATAGGCCTATAGCCATATCAAATCCAAATGCATTTAGTCCAACTTCAAAAGTTCCCATAGTCTATCAGTCTCAACACTGTTTCAAAGTCCAAAGTCTGTTCTGAGACCCAAGGCAATCTCTCAACTGTAATCCTCTGTAAAAGCAAAATAAAAAAGCAGATCACATACTTCCAACATACAGCATACAGAATATACATTGCCATTCCAAAAGGCAGAGAGTAATACCAGGCCTAGTATGGGCTTTTGAAACCCTGAAGCTCATCCCAGTGACAACAAGATCACATCTCTTAATCCTTCTCAAATAGTTCCACTCCTTGATGACTAAGCATTCAAACATATGGGCCCAATTGGGGGGGGCATTCTCATTGAAACCACCACACCATCTGTGGCAATTAGCTTTAATTACCAACTTGACAAGACCTAGAATTACCTAAGAAGAGAGTCTTTTTTTTTTTTGTTTTTGAGACAGGGTTTCTTTGTATTGTTTTGGAGGCTGTCCTGGAACTCGATCTGTAGACCAGGCTGGCCTTGAACTCACAGAGATCTGCCTGCCTCTGCCTCCCAAGTGCTGGTATTAAAGGCGTGTACCACCAATGCCCGGTTAAGAAGAGAGTCTTAATGAAGGGTTGTTTACATTGGGTAGGCTGGTGGAGATGTCTATAGGAAAATGTCTTAAGTTAATTGGTGTAGGAAAATCAAGCCCACTATGGGTTGCATCATTCCCTAGACAAGGGTGGAGGTGCTCCTGAAATGTGTAAGAGTGGAGAAGTTGAACTAAGTGCAAGCAAGTGAACAAGCATTAATTATCTTCCTTCTCTTGTGGTTGTGACCAGCCCCTCAAGTCTTGCTGCTTTGTCTTCCCTAGATGATGGACTGTAACCTGGAATAGTAAGCCAGATAAAAACTTTCTTCCCTGAGTTGCTTTTGATGATAGCAACAGAATGAAACTAGAGTTCTATCCATAGATCTTGTCTTCTGAGGAGGACAGGCTTTATTATCACATGCTGTTAGAGCAATGGATGAATCAGCAATAGAGGTAATAGCTGGAGAATAAAGAAGAGGATAGAAGTTGTGAATTTATAGAAATCCTGGAAGACTGTAGACACAGGAATTTCAGGGGGGAAATATCAGGAGGAAAACAACCAAACTACAACGTTGGAAGGTGGCAGACTTAATTTGGGTTTTTATTAGATTTTGCTGGATAGCAAGTGAGTTAACCCCCTTCTACTAGAAAAACTTGGAAGAATTAGGTTTGTTTTAGGGACTTCAAAACAAGTTAGGAGACTGTTATATAGGATGATTTTGGCTTCAAATAACAGGAAGATTAACAAATGATAAACTAGGGCTGTGATGGAGGAGAATTTACTATTTATTATTAATAAGAAGTTTTGAAGCATGTTTTTCTCTTTATTTATCCTCTATACTTGTAAATTGAGGTGGAAAAATCTTTCCCATATGTGTCCTAGGAGATACCTCTCTTCACCCAGATGACTAGTAGTGATTTCATCAGCTTCCGAGCTGCAAGGGAAGCTTGGAAATCAAGTATCTTTTTCTGTTCCTCCTCCCTCTCTTCTTTCTCATCCTGCTTCTTCCTTCCATTCTCCATAGTGGGACTTGTAAAAGATGGAAGTAGTTAGGGATAACCATTGTGGAACCATTGTTATGTAGATGTTTGCAGGTGCTATCAGTCTTTAGAAACCAAGATATGGTGGGACATACTTGTTATCGCTTTGGAGGTTGAGACAAAAGGATTGTTAATTTAAAGCCAGCCTGAGCTACATAGTGAGACTGTCTCAAACAACAAGTCCCTAGAGAAGTGGACACAAGGGATATTATAGTTGCTCTTAGCTAGAAGGCTGAGAAGTGATCCTAGAATATTCAAAAATATTTCTTCTGGTGCTGGAGGGAAGGCTCAGTTGTAAGAGCACTTGCTGCCCTTGCAGAGGACCCAGGTTTGGTTCCCAGTACCCATGTGGTACTGTAACAACCAACTGTAACTCCAACTCCAAGGCATCTGATACCTTATTCTGGCCTACAGAGGCTCCTGTACAGGCATGGTACACACACACACACACACACACACACACACACACACACACACACACGTACATGTACACATGTAATAAAAAGAATACTTCTGTAGTTTTTGAAAGAATTGATTTTGCATTTTTCTTTTACATCTGATGTCTAATTCCTTTAAGGTCATCTTTAAAGTTTTGGGAGGTCCTTATTTGCAGCTTGGACCTGATAATATGGAACTTTAGAAAAGTTCCTTTCTCATCTGAAATGTATATCACCAACTGTAAGGCCAGAAAACAGCTTGGTCCTGGTTCTAAGGTAGGAATTTCCTATATGGTTTCCATATTTATGTAAGTATGTATGTATGTGTGTATATATATATATATAAATTTTTGTTTTTTAAGAAAAAAGAGCCACCTTCCCCTAATCTTCCCAAATAAAAAATTGCTGGCTAGGATGTTCTTAAGAATGTCTTCTGCTTCTAGGTTGAATGCTCTGTTTAACGGTCACCTTCAGAAATCTATGGCTTATACTCTTATGATATATAAGGTAAGCCTGAACTTTGGTGAGTCGCATACCTCTTGTGGGCTACCACACTCTGGGAAGCATCAATCTTGCTGACAGTAACTTCTCTATCTTTTGGCTTGTTTTCAACATCTGGATGATGACCGTGGGAGTGAATAGCCACTCTCCTATTTGAATGTTCTTTCTGGGTACACATTTACCTCTGACACAAAGAATGAATGAGATGACTTCAGATTGCACTCTTCACTATGATTTGGAGAAGCATTGGGTCCTTAGCTGAACTGAGTGTAAAGGTGTTTGGTGGGAGGGGAGGTGGGAAGTGCCAGCTCTTCTAGGCAGTTCTTCTGGTGCCTTGCATCACAGAGAAGAGGTGGGGGCACTGCTTATGCTCTGGGTCTATGTTGGGGTCCCACTTGGGAAAATGGGAAAATGGCAAATCTGCTTTTGTGCACGGTTCTTCAGATGAGCCCGTGGACAGATATGGCTTTATGTTTGCTAGGTCCCAGAAATTCAAGGATGTGGGTAAGTTAGTTGTAGAAGAATGAACCTGTCACTAGCTAATCAGAGATTGATCACATCATTTCTTAACATTAGGCATATCTATCTACTTCTTTCATGAGAAGGACATTTTGAACAATTTAAGCCCTAAGTAGATATGATTAGAAGAGTCAGGATTATTCAGTCTGCAAGGTTAAAGGATGGAGGGACATGAAGCCAAAATCTTGCAAAATAGAGTAGGCTGCAATGAGAGCTGCAGTGTGCTAATGGTGCTGGCATTTACAAGATGGTCTAGGATCAAGCTATAGGCAAGTTTTAGAAGCAAATTTATTCATGGGCGAAGAATTCTTAAGAGAAAGGACTACAGTTATGGGTTTGCCATCATGGAAGAAGACCATTTCTTCATATACATTAAGCTCGATACTCTGTC